AAAAAAAAAAAAGGGAAGTACGAAAGAAATACCATATACGAGCACAACTGGCGTTATCAGTGGAGAACCTAATTTCGGAAAAGAACAAAGGAGAGAGGAGAAAAGAGGCTTTAAAATCTTGGGCTTCATCACTGAATTTGTTGATATATCTAAATACAATGAAGCTAGACAAATCAAATGCGCTTAATATGTTTACTAAAATAAGGGGGCTCCAGAGCACAAGTAATCTTCATCAATAAAAACATTAAGAGGCACAAAAGAGTAAACGAAGCGCCAAAAGGCATGTGCCCTAAAGAAAATTTTTAAAAGTTGAATTTCTCACCTCTAAAAACACAAACAAGGAATGCTTCATCTGAAAATGGCATGAATATTAGCAGGAAATATCCTAAATTGATGCTCGACTAGTGTTAAATTTGGACTTGACTATGACTTGGATGCCAAGATTTGTTGCCCGTGTTGTAGACCTTAACTAGTATCTCATTGTGAGGCCGGTGTAGTCTTTTTCACACTCGGATAGATATATTTCATAATGGTGACAAAATCAAGTATTTTCTGTTACTTGTCAAACGGGGGAAAATAAGTCTTAACCAAGAGCACTCTTTCGAGCATCCCTATAATTGGGAGTGTCTTAGGACTCCAAAGAAGTGGGTTGGAGGGGTGGGGGATTTGCCGATCTGATCCCTCGAGCATTATCTTCCACTGTTTCCTATCTCGCTGGCGATAGAGGAATCCAATTTCTTTCTAGGTGGATCAGCAATAGCATAAAGTATATCCGAGTAACTGCAGCAATTTGATCAAAGCCAACTAGAGGAAACTCATTGTTAGGCTTAACTTTAATTCACTGATTTGTCTTGTTGTGCTGTTCAGAATTTCGTTTGGAATTCTGGGAATTGGCACTTGGCACTATGACATTAAGAAGTTTATCTGGCAGTATGACAAATTTTTGTGGAATATTGACTTTTCCTGAACTTGGAGGATTTATATAATTACCAATGTTGAATTTCACTGTCCTATTCTTTCACTAACGAACACTCTTTGGCAAACAGGCTGCTTATGTTCCCAGTTTTTGTTTGCATTGCCGGGATTATAACTTTTAGCCCTTGAGGCATGATCTTTGCATTCACGTATATCCTTCAGAGGGCTCCCTTCTCTTAAAATGCTTCAATCTCTGTATACATGCCAAAGAAACTTGTGTACAAGGATCAGGAAAAGTAGCCTCTTTGTGCAGTCTGTGTCAACTAGCTGTGACAGCAACACCTCAACTGATGAGAGCAAGTTGGTCAATAATTTGTGTCACAGGAGGTCGCATGGTTTATCAGGAGAAACTCTCATTAGTGAAGCAAAACTACTCCAATTAGACACGCATACATGTTCAAAAGTTTCAGCTGTAACTGAGTTCTTCCAAAACCATGGGTTTTCTGCAACCCAAGTGAAGAAAATTGTTAGTTTGGTAGTTAAATAGTATTAAATAACTTTAATTCCATATGTATTAGGAGTAGGACATGTATTTTTTATATATCTATATCTATATATATATATATATATATATATATATATATATATATATGTCAAGACATGTGAATAATAATATTTTCTCCCGTGCTTTCTCACATGGTATCAGAGTTGTAGTGGTGAGATACATAAGGGAACTAAAATACAGAGCAGAAGTCGCCGTGCCTCAATTTTTCGGCGACTTTTTCAAAGCTGTTTATGTTATCTCTCTCCCCGTCAGTGTTGTGCAAAATCCAACACTACCACAAGATCCGTCATCGTCCGGCGACCAAATCCCAGCGAACACCTCCGGCAGAACCCTCAACACGCGCCCTCACGCGCCGTCAGAAGCTAGGGTTCTAGCGAGCGCGTGAGCTCACGCGTCGGCGAGTACGACCACTTTCGGCCATTTTTTGATGACGTTTCTTCAGAACAGTTGGGTCGGCTACTAATTCCGACCCTACCCATATTGTTTTCGTTTGATTCTGACAACTTTGAGTTTTTTCAGTGACTACACTGTTTTTTTTCCGGCAGCTACAGTAATTTTCCGGCAAAAAAAAAAAACAGTGTCTCCTTCGTCTGTTTCAGGGAATTTTCAATTGATTTTTTCTGTTATTTGGTTATAATTTTATAGACCTCTCTTCAATCCAACGATGTCTTTGGGAGTTGATGTTTTCGGGTCTAAAAACCTGGGCTCTGGCAGTTCCGGTATTATGATTACCTCAGAACCTTTAATGGGAAGTTCAAACTACTTAGCTTGGGCTTCGTTCGTCGAGCTGTGGTGTAAAGGTCAAGGTGTTCAAGATCATTTAATCAAGAAGTCTAGCGAAGGAGATGAAAAGGCCAAAGCACATTGGGAGAGGATCGATGCTCAATTATGCAGTATTTTGTGGCGATCTATTGATTCCAAGTTGATGCCCTTGTTTCGTCCATTCCAGACATGTTCGTTGGTTTGGGAAAATGCTCGCACTTTATACACTAATGACATTCTCGTTTCTATGATGTGATATCGCGGAAGACAAATTTAAAGAAACATGAATTAGATATGTCTACTTACTTGAGACAAGTATAGGCAGTCATGGAGGAATTTGAGAAGTTGATGCCAGTTTCTGCTAGTGTTGAAAGGCAACAAGAGCAGCGACAAAAGATGTTTCTAGTTCTTACTCTTGCTGGACTTCCTAATGATCTTGACTCAGTACGCGATCAGATTTTGGCTAGTCCGACTGTCCCCACAGTTGATGAATTATTCTCTCGATTACTTCGCTTTGCTGCAGCACTAAGTCACCCAGTGAGCTCATCACAGACACTTGACTCATCTGTTCTCGTATCCCAGTCAGTGGACAATCGGGCATCTCAAACTATGGAGAATAGACGAGGAGGAGGTCGTTTTGGAAGATCTAGACCCAAGTGCTCTTATTGTCATAAACTTGGACACACTCGTGACGTGTGCTATTCTTTACATGGCCGTCCACCCAAAAATGCTTATGTTGCTCAGACCGAGACTACAGGTAACCAGAGATTTTCTTTATCTGAAGGGGAGTATAATGAGTTCCTTCAGTATCGAGCAAGTAAGCAGACATCTCCACAAGTAGACTCTATTGCTCAAACTGATACTTCTGTTGCTGGTAATTCTTTTGCTTGTGTTTCCCAGTCTAGTACTCTTGGACAATGGGTTGTGTACTCAGCCGCTTCTGATCATATCTCTGGTAATAAATCACTTTTGTCAAATATTGCGTATTCACAGTCTCTTCCCATTGTTACTTTAGCCAATGGGTCTCAAAGTAAAGCAAAAGGAGTTGGACAAGCGAATCCCCTACCCTCTGTCACTCTAGATTCCGTTCTTTATGTCCTGGCTGTCCTTTTAATCTTGCATCTGTTAGTCGTTTAAGTCGTGCCCTCCATTGTGGTATATATTTTATTGATGATTCTTTTATTATGCAGGACCGCAGTACGGGACAGACGATTGGAACAGGACTTGAATAAGAAGGCCTTTACTATCTTAACTCACTCAATTCCTCCAAGGCATGTCTAGTTACACATCCTCCGGACCTAATTCACAGACGTTTAGGACGTCCAAGCTTATCCAAGCTTCAGAAGATGGTGCCTAGTTTGTCTAGTTTATCTACAATAGAGTGTGAGTCATGTCAGCTCGAAAAACATACCCGAGCCTCCTTTCCTCGTAGTATGTAGAGTCATGCAGAGTCTGTTTTTTCTTTAGTTCATTCTGATATATGGGGTCCTAGTAGAGTTAGTTCAACCTTGGGATTTCGTTATTTTGTTAGTTTTATTGATGGTCATTCAAGATGTACTTGGATTTTCTTAATGAAAGATCGTTCTGAGTTGTTTTCTATATTCTAGAATTTTTGTGCTGAAATTAAAGATCAATTTGGTGTTTCTATTCGCACTTTTCGCAGTGATAATGCCTTAGAATATTTATCTTCTCAATTTCAGCAGTTTATGACTTCTCAAGGAATTATTCAACATACCTCTTGTCCTTATACCCCTCAGCAAAATGGGGTTGCAGAGAGAAAGAATATGTACATCATTGAGACTACTCGCACACTTCTCATTGAATCTCATGTTCCGTTGCGTTTTTGGGGCGATACAGTTCTCATAGCTTGTTATTTGGTTCATCGGATGCCTTCATCTCCCATCCAGAATCAGATTCCACATGCAGTATTGTTTCCCCAGTCACCCTTATACTCTGTCCCCCCTCGTGTTTTTGGGAGCACTTGTTTCGTTCATAACTTAGCCCCTGGGAAAGATAAGTTAGCTCCTCGTGCTCTTAAGTGTGTCTTCCTTGGTTATTCTCGTGTTCAGAAGGCATATCGTTGTTACTCACCTGATCTTCGTAGATATTTTATGTCATCTGACGTCACATTTTTTGAGTCTAAACCTTTCTTTACCTCTTCTGACCATTCTGTCCACCTTGATATATCTGAGGTCTTACCTATACTGACCTTTAAGGAGTTTACTATAGCTCCCCCTTCACCTTCCACCACAGAAGTCTTACCCATTCCAACCGTTGGGGAATCTAGTGTGGCTCCTCCTAGACTCCCCGCCACAGGAATACCACTCTTGACATATCATCGTCGTTCGCACCCAACATCAGGCCCAGCTGATTCACGTCCTGCACCTGACCTTGCTCCTACTGCGGACTTGTCTCTTCCTAACACACCGATTGCACTTCGGAAAGGTATACAGACCACCCTTAATCCTAATCCCCATTATGTCTGTTTAAGTTATCATCGTTTGTCATCACCTTGTTATGCTTTCATATCTTCTTTGTCCTCTGTTTCCATCCTTAAGTCTACAGGTGAAGCATTGTCTCATCTAGGATGGCGATAGGCTATGACTGACGAGATGTCTGCTTTACATATGAGTGGTACTTGGGAGCTCGTTCCTCTTCCTTCAAGTAAATCTACTGTTGGTTGTCGCTGGGTATTTCCAGTCAAGGTTGGTTCGGATGACAAGATTGGTCGCCTTAAGGCCCGTCTTGTTGCCAAGGGATATACTCAGATATTTGGGTCGATTACAGTGATACCTTCTCTCCCGTGGCTAAGGTAGCATCAGTCCGCCTTTTTCTATCAATGGCTGCTGTTCGCCATTGGCCTCTCTATCAGCTGGACATTAAGAATGCATTTTTACTCGGTCACCTTGAGGATGAAGTTTATATGGAGCAACTACCTGGGTTTGTTGCTTAGGGGGAGTCTCGTGGCCTTGTATATCGCTTGCGCCGGTCACTTTATGGTCTAAAGCAGTCTCCACGAGCCTGGTTTGGTAAGTTTAGCACAGTTAACCAGGAGTTTGGCATGACTCGGAGTGAAGCTGATCACTCTGTGTTTTATCGGCACTCTGCTTCGAGTCTCTGTATTTATCTGGTGGTCTATGTTGATGATATTGTTATTACCGGCAATGATCAGGATGGTATTACTAAATTAAAGCAACATCTCTCTCAACACTTTCAGACTAAGGACCCGAGCAAACTAAAGTATTTTCTGGGTATTGAGGTCGCTCAGTCTAGCTCAGATATTGTGATATCACAACGGAAGTATGCCTTAAACATTCTTGAGGAGACATGAATGACAGGTTGTAGACCGATTGACACTCTGATGGACCCGAATTCTAAACTTCTGCCAGGACAGGGGGAGCCGCTTAGCGATCCTGCAAGATATAGCTGCTGGTTGGTAAATTAAATTATCTCACAGTGACTAGACCTGACATTTCCTTTTCTGTGAGTGTTGTAAGTCAGTTTATGGATTCTCCCTGTGATAGCCATTGGGATGCAATTGTTCGCATTCTTCGGTATATAAAATCGGCTTTAGGCAAAGGGTTATTGTTTGAGGATCGAGGTCATGAGCAGATCGTTGGTTACTCAGATGCTGATTGGGCAGGATCACCTTCTTACAGACGTTCTACGCCTGGATATTGTGTTTTAATAGGAGGCAATTTGGTGTCTTAGAAGAGCAAGAAACAAAATGTAGTTGCTCGATCTAGTGCAGAAGCAGAATATCGAGCAATGGCTATGGCAACATAGGAGCTAATTTGGATCAAACAATTGCTCAAGGAGTTAAAATTTGGTGACATCAGCCAGATGGAACTTGTGCGCGATAATCAAGCTGCCCTTCATATTGCATCAATTCCGGTGTCCCATGAGGGGACTAAACACATTGAGATTGATTGTCACTTCATCAGAGAAAAGATACTCTTAGGAGATATTGCTACAAAATTTGTGAAGTCGAATGATCAACTATCTGATATTTTCACCAAGTCCCTCACTGGTTCTCGTATTAGTTATATATGTAACAAGCTCGGTACATATGATTTATATGCACCAACTTGAGGGGAGTGTTAGTTTGGTAGTTAAATAGTATTAAATAACTTTAATCCCATATGTATAGGAGTAAGAGATTATTATATATAGGGCTCATTGTATCATTGTTAAGACATGTGAATAATAATATTTTCTTTTTTCTCCCGTGCTTTCTCACAAAAATAATTAGACTATGC